GTTGGCTTGTTCCTAAGAAGGAGGCCCCTTCTCCGTGGCGGCCGGCCTGTCCCCGGGCTGCCTGTGCAGGTAGGGCCGGGCTCCCGGGTGGCGGGATGTTACAGGGAGAGCGTTGCGGTGGCACCGAGCTCTCGTTTTGGCAAGTTCTGTTCTGTGACCCTCTGTGCCTGAAGCTGCGGCTCTGGCTCTCGTCCTCGCCTGTAATCCGGGTGTGTTCTGGGGGGGCCGGCACGCGTGTCCCCAAGGAGTGGCACTAGAGGAAGCAGGTCTACTGCAATGACGAGGAAGCCCAGAACCCATGCCGCCTGCATCGGTTTGAGAGAGAAACGTTGATTTCTGGAGTTTCCCTGGTGAGAGCCCTTCTCCGCACGGCCTCGCGCTGACTGCGGGTGGAGAGGGGCACACAGGCTGCTGGGGGGACTTGGAGAGTGGAACCCCACGGGGACAGTGAGAGCTGGCCTAGGATGGAGGAGTTGGGGGGGGGGCATTTTAAAGTAAAATCCCTCACTGTGGTTTCTGTCAAGAACAGAAAAGGAGCCCTAGCTGGTTTGCCTCAGTGGATACAGCATCGGCCTGTGGGCTGAAGGGTCCCGGGTTCGATTCTGACCAAGGGCACATGCTCAGGTTGTGACGCCATCCCCAGTAGGGGGCCTGCAGGAGGCAGCGGATCAGTGATTCTCTCTCATCGTGGATGTTGCTAACAGTCCCTCTCCCTTCCTCTCTGAAATCAATAAAATATATATATATATATTTTAAAAGAACAGAAAAGGAGCTGATGAAAATCATGTGTTTCAAAGTAAGTGGACAGAAAATGCTTACTTGTGCTAAAGATACTGTCATTTGTCTGATTAGCAATAGAGATCCCTCCTCTCAGAGCGCACGGAGCCATAGCTCATCAGGGAGACAGGCCTAGAGCCTCGCTCAGGGGCAAGCAGCTGGCTCCGTCGCTTCGTGATTGGGGCTCGGGCTGCGCTCGCTGCAGAGCTCCGACTCGTTAGCTCCAAGGCTGGGGCGGAGAGAGAGAGAGAGAGAGAGAGAGGGAGGAAAGCTTTATGCCCAGGAGAGCAGGGAACAAACAGGTGCAGGTGCAAGGAAAGTGGTTTATTACGAAAGAAGAAATTCACCCAGGTTCACTCTCATGGCCCTCGGACTGCCCTTCTAGGGAGGCAAGCTTTGTCTCAGGGCCTGTGGCTTTCAGTGAAGACCAGACGACTGGGAGGCTGTTGCCCACAGCACGCCAGCTACGGGGCTCCCCCGTCCTCACTCAGCTCTTCAGGAACCTCGCGGATCCTGCCGTGCGTGCGCACACTTCACCTTCCCTGCTCCCGGCAGCACCCGAGCCAGACCCCGCGTCTCACCTGCACTTCGTCGGTGAGCGGTGCACTGCGAGTCCCGGCCCCTGGCCCTAACGGTCAGGCCGGATTTGCACTAGGTGTGGGCCTGCTTCCTAGTCACTGGCCTGCACTGCCTCCCCGCCAGCCACTGGGAGGGCACCGGCACGACAGAGAGGCCGCAGGGACTTCCTCCTGGGCGCGTTCTGGATGGTGGAGTGACGGAATCTGCAGGAGCTGTGCCACCATCCGGCAGGAGGTGACCTTGGCTGGAGCCCGATGGGGAGACATCG